ACCATTGCACTCAGCCTGGACAACAGGAGCAAAACTCCGTCTCAAAAAAAAAACAAAAAAAAAAGCTGGGCGCGGTGGCTCACGTCTGTAATCCAGCAGGTGGATCACCTGATGTCAGGAGTTTGACACCAGCCTGGCCAACATGGTGAACCCCATCTCTGTTAAAAATACAAAAATTAGCTGGGCTAATTTTTGGTGCTAGGTGCTTCTGGTCCCAGCCATTCAGGAGGCTGAGTCAGGAGAATCACTTGAACCCAGGCGTGGAGGCTGCGGTGAGCCAACATAACACCACTGCACTCCAGCCTGGGCAACAGAAATAAATAAATAAAATAAATATTTTTTAAAAGATAGGGTCTCACTCTGTTGCCCAGGCTGGCACAATCATGGCTCACTGCCGCCTTGACCCACTGCAACCTTGACTTTCCAGGCTTAAGTGATCTTCTCACCTTAGTATCCCAAGTAGCTGGAACCACAGGGGCACACCATGCCTGCCTAATTTTTTTATTTTTACTTTTTGTGGAAATAGGGTCTCCTTATGTTGCCCCAGCTGGTCTTGAACTCCCAGCTTCAAGCCATCTTCCCACCTCAGCTCCCAAAGTGCTGGGATTACAGGCGTAAGCTCCTGTGCCCGGCTACCACTCTCCTATGTCCTGCATTTTGCCTTCTGTATGTGAAGTTGTTTTTCTGGCAGAAAAAGCCATGTTCTCTTTACATCCTAATGCTTCGGGTGGGGGCTTGTGTGAAAGTGTGGTATGGAGGCCGGGCCTGGTGGCTGACGCCTGTAATCCCAGCACTTTGGGAGGCTGAGGTGGGCGGATCACAAGGTCAGGAGATCAAGACCATCCTGGCCAACATGTCGAAACCCCATCTATACTAAAAAAAAAATACAAAAAATAGTGGGTGTGGTGGCATGTGCCTGTAATTCCAGCTACTCTGGAGGCTGAGGCAGGAGAATCGCTTGAATCAGGGAGTTGGAGGTTGCAGTGAGCCGAGGTCGCCTGCATTCCGGCCTGCTGACAGCGAGACTCCGTCTCAAATAAAGAAGTGCAGCATTGTAAACTAGATTGGATGCTGATTTACTTGTATCTGTGCGCTATCATGAGCTCTATTTAGTCACCCTTCAGTATCTGTCAGTCTCACCTGATGGTTCTGTTTCTCTGGTAACAGTTTCTTCCTCAGAACAAGAAACAACTGAAGTATCCTTAATCTGCTTATTGTTTCAGATTGCAGATTGAGTACCCAGCATGAGGAATCAGCAGATGAGCAGAAAGGTTCTGAAGCAGATGGGCTCAAAGGGGATATAATTTCCGTGATTATCGCCAATAAACCTGAGGCCAGGTTAGAGAGGCAGTGCGTAAAACTTGAAAATGAAAAAGGAGCGAAACCCCCTCTTCAAGAGTCAGGCTCCAAGAAAGGTAGAGAATCAGTTCCTACTAAACCTACCCCAGGAGAGAGACGTTATATATGTGCTGAGTGTGGCAAAGCCTTTAGTAATAGCTCAAATCTCACCAAACACCGGAGAACACACACTGGGGAGAAACCTTACGTGTGCACGAAGTGTGGGAAAGCTTTCAGCCACAGCTCAAACCTCACCCTCCACTACAGAACACACTTGGTGGACCGGCCCTACGACTGTAAGTGTGGAAAAGCCTTTGGGCAGAGCTCAGACCTTCTTAAACATCAGAGAATGCACACCGAGGAGGCGCCGTATCAGTGCAAAGATTGTGGCAAGGCTTTCAGTGGGAAAGGCAGCCTCATTCGTCACTATCGGATCCACACTGGGGAGAAGCCTTATCAGTGTAACGAATGTGGGAAGAGCTTCAGTCAGCACGCAGGCCTCAGCTCCCACCAGAGACTCCACACCGGAGAGAAGCCATATAAGTGTAAGGAGTGTGGGAAAGCCTTCAACCACAGCTCCAACTTCAATAAACACCACAGAATCCACACTGGGGAAAAGCCCTACTGGTGTCATCACTGTGGAAAGACCTTCTGTAGCAAGTCCAATCTTTCCAAACATCAGCGAGTCCACACTGGAGAGGGAGAAGCACTGTAACTGCCACGTGCGCTCGTGTTGTCGTGGTTGTTTTAAACTTTAGCATCTGAACACCAGGAAGGAGTCTTGTCGTTGCAGCAGCATTGATTTCGGTGATAGAGTTTGTGTCACTCAACATCGGGATGCCTGAGGAGTGAGAGCTCCACAGCAACACGACAGGCAGGAGGTCCTCAGAAGGTGTCAGGAGGTTCCACGCTCGCCAGTTCACTGGAGCCAGAGTCCCTTCCCCACACTTAGGGTCCCAGTAAACCATGCCAGCATTACCTTTTGCATAGTTAAACTGATGTGTATCCAGTCTAGTTAAGGAAGAAACATTAAGACTTTAATTTTTAACATATATTCAAGAATTTTAATTTGTAAAGAATTGAGCCACATTGAACACAATTGAATGAGATTCAGAATAAACTTATAACATCTTTTAATGCCTCAGGACTGTTATAACAAATGATGTGTTGGTTATTGAATACTTAGAGATGGAGAAAACTGTTCCTACTGGTTTCGCTTTTAGAAAATTTGGATTTGGGGTCAGGCACAGTGACTCATGCCTGTAATCCCAGCACTTTGGAAGGCTGAGGCGGTCGGATCACCTGAGGTCAGGAGTTCGAGACCAGCCTGGCCAAAATGGCAAAACACTGTCTCCACTAAAGATACAATTAGCTGGGCATGATGGCAGGTGCCTGTAGTCCAAGCTACTTGGGAGGCTGAGGTGGGAGAGTCGCTTGAACCCGGGAGGCAGAGGTCGCAGTGAGCCAACATTGCGCCACTGCACTCCAGCCTGGGTGACAGAGCGAGACTCCGTCTCAAAAAAAAAAAAGTAAAGTGAATGCTTTCACTAGATAATAACTGCATACCAAGAGCCAGGGGCCATGTTGAACTGTCCCGGCACAGCTGTTGTGGATGGGTTTGTGGCAGACAACCATTAACAGCCACAACTCATCTGTTTTTTACAGAAGCCATACAGAAGGAGTGTCTTTTGCATCTTTGAGGGCAGTAATAATCACTTCAGTTCCATTCAGGGTGTGGTATTGTTTCTTTTTTTTTTTTTGAGATGGAGTTTCGCTCTTGCTGTCCAGGCTGGAGTGCAATGGCGTGATCTTGGCTCACCGCAACCTCTGCCTCCCGGGTTCAAGCGATTCTTCTGCCTCAGCCTTCCTAGTAGCTGGGATTACAGGCATGTGCCACCATGCCCAGCTAATTTTGTATTTTTAGTAGAGACGGGGTTTCTCCATGTTGGTCAGGCTGGTCTCGAACTCCCGACCTCAGCTGATCCACTTGCCTCAGCCTCTGAGTGCTGGGATTACAGGCGTGAGCCACCGCGCCTGGCCAGGGTGTGATACTTCTTTCTTGCCACTTTGATTGGCTGGGGAAGGGCAGGGTGTGCAGGAGTTTCCACTTGACCCTTTTTCCTATGACCTACCTGTGCTACAGGTTAAGTAACCAATGTGCTGGGCATCTATCCCCCTGCTAAACATATCCCAATTATTTTCTCAGGGACATGGCCATAGGGTGAGTCTGTCCCCACTGGGCCCACTGAGATGGATTTGGGCCAGGACTCCATTTATCAGCTGACCTCTGTCTGGAGGGCAATGGTAAGTTTTAGATTTGTGTCATCTTAGATCCTATATAAAAAAGCCTCAAAAGGCCTGGGCATTCTGTTTTCCTAATACATTAGTGAAGAGCCACAGGTCCTTTGGAGAAATATTTATTGTATATACTTGTGGTACAGTTGGAAGGTCTTAAAAAAAAACCCAAACTCCCCTTGAGTTGATGGATTCCGAATCTCAGAACTGGCTCAGATCTGGAAAGTAGCGGAAGGATTGCGATTTCCCATTGTTAACAGCTGGTATCAGCCTTCTCATCCACTCTTGGGATTTTTTTGCTTATACAAATCAAAGCCTCACCCTGTTGGCTGAAAGTTTTTGCTAAGAACACCAAGGGTTATTAGTCAATGCCACAGATTCCTGTGGGTCAAGACACCCTAGTGGGCCAGGAGTGGCTCCTGCCTGTAATCCCAGCATTTTGGGAGGCTGATGCAGAAGGATTGTTTGAGCCCGGGAGTTCGAGACCAGCCTGGGCAACATAGTGAGATCCCATCTCTATTGTTTTTTTTAAATTCATATTTAAACAAAAGTAAGGCCGGGTGTGGTGGCTTACGCCACTAATCCCAGCACTTTGGGAGGCCAAGGCAGGCAGATGACGAGGTCAGGAGATCGAGACCATCCTGGCTCAGTGAAACCCCGTCT